GAGTGATGGGGCTAAAATATTAACCTTACAAGGACAGAATCTAACCTTTGGGATTATTCTCGTTGAACAACAGGAGAATAAGATATTGGTTGGTAATGGTATACAACATATGAAGTACACTTAATCGCCCCAACGCGAGCATATTACAAAAACATCAACACCACACTCAGAAGACTGCACATCGGAGAGAGAAAAACTAGGTACGCCTTTACTTTATTACTTTACTTATCTATAATGCTCTCCAAGACGAAATGATCATAGCCCAAAACACGTGCTTACCCATGGATTACCATCTCCCTCTTGAACTATCTGTATTTGATGAATGTCTTATAGATCACCAGAGTTATAAGTACTCCACAACCAGTATCTACCTTTCATTTCCTATTATTAACTATGTTACCCCCAAATCCCTTCTACTCCATCTCCTTATAGATTATCAATCAACTAAGAATTTGACCTAGAAACAATCATCTAGCACATGGATTATCACTTTTTTATATTTACATTGCAACCAACCGACCCCTGCCTAGTAGCGCGATAGCTGCTGGTATTCAGGAACCCTTCTACCCTAAGACAAACACACTCAACCAAACTAGGTCAGCAAATCTGTCAAAGGTTTTCGTGCGTTGTGGTCACTTCGCCGAGCGTTCAAATCCTTTGACGAGGAAATGTTTTGAATTTTATATCCCACCTATGTAAGACCACATTTAGAGTACTGTATTCAAGCAGCTAGCCCATGTCTGATGAAGGATACTACCTCACTTGAGTGTGTCCAGCGTGTGGGAACGAAATTAGTGAAGGGTCTTTCTAAACTCCCTTACGATGAGCGTTTAAAACGCCTAAACCTTTTCCCCTTGTCGTATCGTAGGACTCGAGGTGACCTTATACTGGCATTTCGTATCTTTAATTTTGATTTGGGTGTTAATATGTCTTATCCTTTTGCTTCCTCCAGCACTAATAATCTCCGAGGTCATAGCAAGAAGGTTCATAAACCACGATCTAATAAACTCAAGGTGGGGTTCCGTTTTTCTCATCGAGTAGTCAATGATTGGAACGCTTTGCCCAATCAAGTCATATCAACCCTATCAGTGAATATTTTCAAAGAAAAACTGGACCTTCACTGGAAGGCAACCTGTTAGGATTAACACAGGTTCACTAACTTACTATGCTTATTACTGAAGACTGAAATCTATAAATAATTACCACACTGACTGGAATCGGTGTAGTCGAGCGACTAGACTATCATCCATTGAGCATAACCAGATACATGTAACCTCAATGAGACAAGAAGAAGTAAATACATGCTCGTGATAAAGATATTCGATGTGTTGTGTAAGATATTGTATATTGACAACAAACTTTCGGATGGTGCGCTACTAAGTAGGCACTAACTAATGTAACCATAATTCGTAGTACTTTATGAATCGTTGTTTTGTTTAGTCGAGGGTATCACTTCACTTATTTTTTTAGTAACTAATAGTGTGTTGCTTCTGGGGGATGATCGAGAAAACTTTGAAATTTTATAGTTTATAAACTATATAACTATAGTTATAACTAAACATGTATGTTCATGTAAAAACCAGCTCTATTATGTGGTTTGAACACGTAGCATATAAACTATCTGCTTCTGGTCCCGATTACAAGATTGTTTTAACCTGAGGCTTGTGTTATTGCCGTTTGTTGTCTCTTGCTTTAAGTAGTTAAAGTGCATTGTATGGGCTTACATCGTCCGATCTTTTCTTATGTTCTCTTTTCCAGCCCTCCTCACTCGTACTAATCTGCATGTTTGCCTAGAACCCGAGTTACCTTCTGGATAGGCGCATGCTTCTACGGAATGTAAGTGAATTAGTATGGCTTTACTATACTCTTCGTTATAGAACTTAGGGATTCTACAGTTTTATACATAGATTCTCACTACATCTGGGACAATATTCAATGTCGTTTTGCCGAACTAATATAACGCCAGTGATCTCAGGTTCTTATGGTGCTAAAGAAGGTCCCAACTGAGACACCCAGGTGTTCGATAGCATTCAGTAAGGGGATTCTAGCCACTCAAATGTATTAGTCATGGTAGACTAAATAGTCCTTCGGGGCTTACATATTTTAAGTATAAGTCACTGAATTTGTCCTAGAGCAATGAAGCTGCTTGGAATAGTAGCTGTTACATCACCAGGTAGTCGTCTGGTTGGTTGGATTTAAAACTAAAGTCGTAGTGAAGTTAAAAATAAGTAATGTCAAGTAATTAAATACACAAATATCTGAACATAACCAGCTAGACGAATATAATAAGCAACAAGATAGGGTAAAACATGTCACTCATGTATCGCTCTGAAAGTTGTGATTTACCTTCAACGTATACTGTCATTATACGTTTATATTAATCTTAGTTTCATTGGTCTCGACTTAGTTTCCAAAATGTCCTGAATAAGCCTCTATTACAAAAGCGAATGGTCTGTCAGTCAAATTTAACGTAGAGCTTTAAAGATGTGAACATTTAAATCAAACCCCTAGGAAGGATCAAGAGATGCTTTCTTGACTTCTTAGATTTTTCGTATCCAAGTCTTCGAAGTTTGTCTTTGATTTTTACTGTTGATCCAGTACAGGTTTTATTTTAGCAATGAACATACGTCTTTTGTAGTATGTGTTTTATCTTTACCCCAATTACCACTCACGTGTCCATTTGAGTTCATTTCAAAAAACTAAATGGAATAAATAAAGACTAATAAACGGACCATAAGTGTGTTAATATAGCAGCGTTAATTTAATAATCGGAGGTAATTCCTGTGGTCCGCAAACTCGACTTAGTCTTAGTATGTACATGCTTCACAAATCCGTTGCTCAGCCGCTATTCAGGCGGAAAGACAATAGTTAGGAGCCCTTACTTTGCTCACTATTACGCTCCGATCTAGTTTCCCACATATCGTGGGAGTTATGTTATCATTCTGTCTTTTTCAACTCCTCATGGTATGTTTAGGCATTCGCAGCTTATTAATAATTCGAGCATGAGTAGCGATGGGTTCTTAATCTAGTTTTAGCAGTAGTCAGTTGCAAACTAAGTAGCTTTAAGATAGATTTTCAGGTTGTAACAGTAAGTGAAACGGTCCCAATATTTCGTAGGGTTTGTTTGTTTGTCCAATATGATTACTAACCAACATCTCTCATTCCTGCTTTAGATTTTCTCACTGGTTGACTTCTAATTTCTCACCTTATAGGCTGTCCAGAGAAAAGCTACGCTGGACTAGAATGTCAATATACCATTTTTTAGTCGAGTATTTACTTATTGTTTTCTCATGGTTTTTCACATTATTGGTCGAAAGTATTTCACTTAAATACATAGTTCTTATGTCCGTGAATAAAAAAATACGCCTTAAGTTTATAAACAACATTCTTGATAAATTAAACAACCTAAAATATGCATTTTATTGATACAGGGAAAGCATAAAAGTATTTTTCTTATAAACCTCCTCCTGTCTGACTTGTGGTGTTTAAATATTGACTTTTATTGGCATATTAATAGACAAAAAATAATTCACCATGTTTCTTTTATCAGCCTCATTTGTGGAGTTTCATCGTGTGTAGTAGGCTTGCTACCCATAAAACATTTGGAAAGGTATAAAGAGCCCTCTCGATTATCGCTACTTAAGACCAGTATCCCCCTTATGCCGAGGGTCGAGTGTACTGTTCAGCAGTTCGCCTTTTATACTATTTGACTGAAATCTAGTCATTCAGTATGGAGGTCTAAAAAACAGGTATTTAATTGTAATTGTTTTCAAAACACTACTCTTGTGCAGTGAAAGCACGGAGTTTGCAATGTCGATGTTAGAATTATCAATGTGATCTTCGCGGAGGTCACTGTAAAGTTCGTTGTACACATGGATTATCGACTACCTCCAACCACCACCTTACATACAGGCTTGACGTCTGTTCTTATCATTAAATAAGTGGACGGGGATAGTTTTATTAAAAACTGCACTTCACATAAAGCAAAACAAGTGTTAGCAATCATTGTTCGATGACCACAGGCAAACGAGTTAAAATCAACCACTGGTGAAGTTGCATAGACACAATTACTCTACAAACCATCAACGCTATATTCGACTGTAGTTTTTCGCCTGTCTATCCATACTTTTTTTGATGTGTTCGAAGGGTTTTGCAATCTTCCTGACTTCTTTATACTGTTGAAATGCAAACTCATCTAAGCTAACCCACTGTTGGCAATAGTTGTGCTTCTGTTTACCTGTAGGATTGAAGGCATTTTGTAATCTTTTTTTCAAAGATGACTAAACAACAACTTAAAAACGTATATCTGAGTTATCAACCTTCATTGACTAAGTCGGTTGGTAGGATTTTACTCATCTACATATGTGGTTTGATTCGGTGCACTATGATATTTAGTATAAAATCTACAACCATTTAAGAATCTACTACTAAATAAAGTACGATGCATATTCAGGCCCATCATCGTTTGATGGTCAAGGAAGACAGTAATATGAACTTAAATGACCTTGAATTGTATAAAATGTTGAAGACACTGAGATCTACTAAGTTGTTTGAACAAATTTGTTCTAAACAATTTGATCGTTTTGCTTACTGTAAAGGTTTCAGGGAATCCTAAATTATCAATACGAGTGAGTGGTATATCTTCAAATAATTACTGATAGTTGTGGTAATGGCCGGCACAAAAAACCGTAGATTCAACATCTGATCTCCTATTTTGCTTATATTTCAATACAAGTACAACCTGGTAGCAAATTTCCATGGCACCGATATCACCACTTCAATAACGACCTCGTCAATAACTTATCAGCTTTTAAAATTGTTGTTAAACACAATCAACCATATTTTTAATTTCAAGGGGAAATCCTCACATATAACTGTAGTGCTACAATACTTTAAATGTATTATTTATGAATCCTGTGTTTTTCTGCTCATTAACGACATCTTAACGAGTGTTTGATGTATTCTTCATAGGATAATTATTGTTGTTGGATTTTATATAAATGGATCTTATAATGTGTAGCTTCTGTAGATTTGAAATGGCGTACAGAGAAGTTCTCCGTTCTTCTTCTGAAGATGAATCTAGCAGCAATGATGACATTTGTTGGAAACGAAGAAAATCAGATATTCGAGCCTCACCAATGAAAGAAGATTTCAGTGTAAATATCCCAAAGAAACCATATAGAAAAAATCGCAACTGTGTTTGGGTAAATGTTATTAACGAGTACAAATTGGATGATGCTTTGTCAGTAGCTCATGTTCATGAAGTAAATCAAAACAATATAATCTAGCATTTACTGTAGAAATGTGACTCTAGCAGGGGTGTTGAAAGTTATTTGGTTAACACAGATAATGATGATGAACGGAAGATTATTGAAGTGTGCACTCAACCAGAATTGTCTACTAGGTTTGAAAGTCCACACGTAAACTTTTATTTTTCAGAATATTAAACAAATCAAATCTCTCTATCAAGCAACGGCTTGGACCACTTCTATGGGACCAGGAAGTATCTAGATCACATATTGACGTTACTTTTGACAGTCCACCCGATCTTGTCGCTGAAACTATCATTAATCTACTAAAAGAACCGAACGAGGATTTAATAAGTATGTTTTTATTTACACCATAACTGATATTGTACAGGGCGAACTGTTGATATTTTGGGTGTTCAGCGAGCTCTTGAATTTTACTACCTTACGGAAGATATCGAGAACAATGGTGGTCTCTACTTAATGGTAGGTTTCCACATAATAGCGCGTTTCTTTACCTCACTACATTTTAATGGTCACACCATATGTAAACCTATATTACGTTTATATGATGTAAATCATTCTGTTTTTATTATTATATCCAATTATGGTATTTGGTAGGATATTATTCTCCCCCACACTTGACATTTAAGTGAATGTAGATTATCAATGGATCGTGATGAAACAATCTGTCCAGCTTTACTTGAGATATGAGGATTGTTTAGCTGAATAGTTCTTCCAAAACTTACAAATTTGTCTCGTCCTTGAAAAAGAAACTTATATATCATGGTTTTGTTATAAATTCGTAATATATTTTTTGGTTCTTTGTTAAAACTCAGTTGGCAAATGAACTCCAGCTGACCAATGTGTGCATAGGACCTCTGACCGTTTTGCATGAGATATGTCTTTAAAATTAAGCAATTATCAAGCATGTATTGCACGTCACGTTTTCTTTCAGTTCAATGACAAGAAATAATGGTCAGTAATTCTTACTTTTTCTGACACTACACAATTCGTGATAAACTTGCTAAACGAAATACACATTACCTAATGCTTTCAATTAATAATTATTTCATTCAGTATTTGTTTGTAATTTAATACAAAGGTTAAAGAAAAGCTAGAAGCTTTATCTCTGGGGCCTAAATTCTGTGATAGTAGGCATAGAATCAACCAATTAGATGCTGATGTTCAATTTGAGAATTTAATTTCACAAACAACTGACTTGATTCCTACCTATCTTGCTCGGTTTAAGACCACGTTAGTTGATAACTGCCAACCATACAAGAATAGTAAGGGCACCACAAATCACCTGCTAACCAAGCAACACTGAGACTCTAACGAAAATAAGAAAAGATGAAACCCTGATCATAAGCAAACCAGATAAAGGAGGAGGTATAGTTCTCATGAACAAAAAGGACCACATCGAAAAAATGGAAGCAATGCCTAGTGATCCTAGCAAATTTCAGAAAGCTACTAGTAATTATGACATCAATAATAAAGTAGAAAAACAATTGGCTATTTTCCTTAAGGATCTAAAGAAAAAGGGAATAATTACGACTGAGATTCATGATTCAATTAAGCCGACTGGATCATATACACCACGACTGTACGGTTTGCCTAAAGTTCATAAACCGAGTCTTCCTCTACGCCTAGTTCTAGATATGTACAACTCTCCGTACCACAAAATTGCAAAGTGGCTAGTGCGAATCTTAGAGCTTTTGCACAAATTGGTTGTTAGAAATAGTGTAAAAGATGTCTTCGACTTCACCTCTAAAATGTAAAATATGAATGTTAGCATGAAAAGTGTGATCTCAGTAAATGTAGCATCTTTGTTCACCAACGTACCACTTATAGAGACTATTGAGTTTATATGCAAGCAAATATCAGAAAAACAAATCAACATTGGCTTGCCTGAAGATAGTTTCGCAAACTCTACTCTTAGTTACTTATTAGTTGCTATCTAATCACTTTGAGTACTTGTAACTAGTATCAATCATCAATATATATAGATCCATGAAAGTATGACTATTTATTTATTTGAACACAAACATTGGTACAAGGAGGCACCAAACAGATATGCGCCAGACAAATCCGACTTGTGTGAGGGTTGGAATACTAATTGGGCGCCCAAACTGAAGCAGGTGGTTTTCTTAGGGGGTCACACCCGAAGCCTTTGACTTAGAGATCTAGTCCACAAGGCGTTGGAGAAACCTAAGGAGATACAGTCCCATGGTAGCCGGCGACCAACAACAGATTCATACTCCATTTATTTCCTTAGGATCCTGGAGCCCATGTACACCACTGGTTTGGAATCAGTTTTCCAACTCCCCCAGATAGATCTTCCGTATCCACCAACCCGCTTGAAGCTCTGAACACTCGCTTTTTGTCCTCTCAATTTCGTAAACAACACCTCAGCCACGAGAAGGTAATGAGTAGGACTCCCCTGGCGGTGCCTGTATGCACGTGGCTATGTGAGAGCATTTTGAGAGGTAGAGCTGACTCTCCCTACTCTCGGCCGTAACTTTCAGATCATGTATTCATATGAGTCTAATGGATAGCTAGTAGTTAATAACAAATAAATTCAACTATGATCATGCACGATTCACACTAACCATCATAGTAGTTTATAAAACTTCCTGATTTTTAAAACTTTTTTCAAATTTGTATATCTACCGAAAGCTGTCATTATACAAAACGTTACGTAGTTGAGAATACAATCATTCAAATCGCTGGAAACGATCGTCTTTGTTTATGTTAAATTTGGACATACTTTCCCTTGTTTTTTTTATTTACTAGTGCAAATGTCAGAGTGATTGCGACAAAAACTAACACTTACAATCTTTTCAAGCTCTTGACGCTCGTCGATTTATTCTGACAATGGGAATGTAGGAATGTATGCAAATTCTCTACTCTAGAGCTCCATAAAGTTTTCGTGAGGACCACGAAACATGGTGTTCAAAGTGCGCTGCTAATATAAAAGCAGCTGGTGTATTTTATAACCTTCAGGTATTGAAACTCATCCAAGCCACTTGCCCAGAGTTTCGTGTAGGTCAGATTATTTATGAGGTCGATGGGATCTTATGTAGCAATCTTTAAAGCCATGTGGTTGCTGATTAGAGCACTTCAAAATAATAATGACCTAAAAAATAATGTTTCACTTTGAGACTATATTTATTGTTTCATAACTTACTCTTTGTTTTTCAATCGATTTCGTTAGGATGGGTCTCGGAGACGGTCGCCTGGTGGTGTTTATCTTAATCTAATCAAACATTCCTATTCAGTAAAAAAAGAAGAAAAGAAGTCGATCTTTCTGATTGATAGACAAATGAAAGATAAATTAAAAAGGTATTTAAAACAAAAGTATTTAATTTGTGTAATCCAATGCTCACTTAAGTTTAAGATATTCTTCGAGTCTATAACAGGTATTTAATGAAGCTGGAGATTTGTTGAAGTATATTCATCTCAGAATTTTGAGTGAATATCATCTGATTTCCAGTATGTTTTACACCAATTAAATCTATAATAATTCCCTAAAACTCAGGTAACCTGGCTTTAGATAGTAGAAAATTTATCAATTCACCAAACATTCTACAGTTATAAAATATATTTTTTTGACATTGATCGGGAGCTCAAAGTGAGGTTGTACTGTTGGGTATATTAGCATGAATTGGCTTTCATCACAAACTGACATCAGATGTAATGCCAAAACTCTAGCTAAATGTATGTATGAATTTCGCACCACAACTCAAGACTCGTTATCTTATATCTGATTGGTTCGTCTATAAATTATAGTCTCACCGAAAGATGTGACCAGGGTCTACACTTAATACCACATTTCATTCGAGTCATAATGGAAAAGAGTACGGCCGAGAGTGGGGAGAGTCCGCTCTCCTTCTCGAAATGCTCTCACATGGCCATGCGTATATAGCCTCTGCCAGGGGAGTCCTACTCACTGCCTTCTCGTGGCGGGGGTGTTGTTTACGAAAATGAGAGGACGAAAAACGAATGTCCGGCGCTTTAACCGGATCCCAAACCAATGGTGCACATGGGCTCCAGTATCCTGCGGGAACAAATGGCGTATGAACCAATTGTTGGTCACCGGCTACCATGGGATTGCATCTCCTTACGATGCTCCACTGCCTTGTGGATCAGATCTTCAGATCGAAGGCTCGGGGTGTAGCCCCCTAAGAAAACCACCTGCTTCGGTTTGGGCACCCGGGCAGTATCACAGCCCTCACACATATCAACTAAGGTCTGTGTGGCGCATATGTATTTGGTGCCTCCGTGTACCAATACCTATGTGTCAACATAAATAAATGAATAATAGAGGATCATCGTCTACTAGCCAGACATTGATGTAATGAGAGCCCGACAAGCCATAAGTCTTAATGTCTTGGCTGTTTTTCATTTACCTCTGTGTCATTTGGTAAATAAAATATCACCGCTCCTACAGGGAATATAAGCGGACTAATCAATAACCGTACCGGAGAAGAAAACTATCCCCATAAATAGTGACCCGATCTCACGAGCCCTGGTGTATTTTGAGAACATTTTCTTCTTGTTTTTATAAAAGTAATGTGACAAAATCTCTTGTCATCAGTCGTCATTATCGAGTGTCTGCTCTCACCAACGGACAAGAAGTTCCCCTAACAATCGTGGGGATTTCTAACCACAATGGGATTTATCTCTTTTCTGTTTTTCTCATCTCTGTAAACACTGTCCAATCCCTTCCGTTTCCTCAACTTTTGATTTTCAGAATAGTCTATTTATTCTCCTAAAACTTTCCTAGTAATTTCATAATCATACAGTTAGAGAAATCTTATTGTAGTAAGGGTTTTATTTCTTGAGGTATGTAATTTGTTTTCTCTTTGTTTATTCTCTTTTATTCTGATTGTAATGGATGGCCTGTTGTTCTATACTCGTTCATGGTTTAATTAATTAACCATACAGCAAGTTAGTTGCCATATCATGTAGACACACTCATGTTTTAAATATTTCACTCAGAAACAACTACCATAGGAATATTTTTTGTCTTATGTTATGGGCTTTTTATGTTCAAGATTCTAATTGATCTTCTAATTAACCTAGGGAAATATTACCGTTTCACGTACACTATATTTTAGTTTCCACTATAGGTTGGTAACCTGAGGATTTCGACTGACTGCACATTAAAAAATTCTTGAGTTTCATCCTTTTAGATGATGATAATCAGTTGTCTGTTTGGGTTAATGTGTAATTCTGTATTTACTTATAAACTTAAAGAATAAATACACGTGTTCGCTTTCTGTGAGTGACGAATCATTGTTGTTTTATGCAGAGCTCGCAGGAATTCTCGTCGTGTAAGAAAATATGAGGTGTCAGACATTGTATGCGAACTTCCAAGCAATCCCGCGAAATCAGTCGATTCCAATTGTCCTTCTCCGTTAGATATACACAGTTCTCAAGAACCAGTTATTTTGGAAGGTGAAATTTCACAACCTGCTTCGCCTGCAATTACAATGGATACAACGTGTGCAAGTTCGCGTGAAAAATCACCCGAAGATAATGAAAGTATGGAAGAAGGTGAATTGCCTCCTAGTGATGATGATATCTAAATCTTTGTATAAAATCCTTTCCCTCTGATGCTATTCCAGTTTTCAAATAGATAAATAATATATAGTTTTAAAATAAGTTGAAAATTCATGAATTTTTAATCAGATACGTTTTACTCTTTTTTTTATCCCGATGAACATTAACTTGGAATCCTAAAATCTGTATACTAAGCATTTTATCATGGGACATTTTTTTCACAGGGAGTGTTAAAATCACAGATCAATATTTGGCTAAGAACCTTTTGTACACTAAGGTTCCCTACAAGGAGAAATATATTTATCATCAATTGGGAATCTTAATTGTTTAAGGATCCGTATCATATTAAAAGACTAATATTTAAACAAAGAATATTTTTTTCGATAAATTCTTTTCAGGCTCTTCAATTATATATCCAAATTAATATTCCGAAAAGTGGCCAGTGTTATAAACGCCCAGTTTTGCCGGTTAGAGAGCAGCGTATTATCGATCGGAACAGTGACGCATAAAATACAAGCGAGCAGCCTAGAGTCCTGATTGGCCCAGCCAGTTGAGTCCAGAACGCAAGTCTGAGCCTCTGTGATATGAATCGTTATATTTCAAACATACACTGTTTATATACCAAACAAACAGACTACATCGTACCATAAATATAAAGTAACATTTGTACAAAATTTAACCTTCAGGAAATGACACAAATAAATATTGACCAATAGGGAGATGACACGTTGGAAGAATATTGACCAATGGGGGAATGACACAATTTCTCATTCAGGAATAGCATTCGATAATTTCTGGGGTATTTCCTGAATACCCCAACAGCCAGGTTTAGGGAATTGTCAAACAAAATAGAATAAAATTGTTGATGTGTCTTATGTGGAATGTTAACTCGAATTAGCTTATATGTTAAGTGACCACAATAAATGTGGGTCAGATAGGGTGAGAGAAATAATAGTGCAATTACAATTTAATTGGGGAGATTGATAATGATGCTTAACCAGTAGTAATAATAATACTAAGATTTATGAATAGAGACGATTAGATTTGACTATGAACGGTAGTAAGTACAATAGTCACATTAGGCCATTTGATAGCTAAGATTACTATTACAAACAAGGATTGACAGTGGCTAGCAGTGGGATGCAGGACAAGCGTATCGTTTTATTCGGGACTCGTCACCTGAGTGCACATGCATCCCGGAGTTGACGTTCACTTCGGGACTCGATCCCAACATCGTTCGCTCCAAACGCTAACGCTTTATCCACTCAGCTACTGAGTCCTGATAGCCACCACGAAACGCGCGTCCCAGATCCCACTGCTAGCTACTAACCATCTTTGCTTATAAAACCTGTGATTTACGGCAATATCGAGGCAGGATGCACTTATGCCAACAAGAGACTGATCGGTTGCAGTCCTAAACAACTGTGGGAAGATACAAACAGACAATACCAAGTGAATCAAGATTACTATTGATTAGTAGGCTTTGAGGTTGGACAGGGGAGGAGAAGCGGTTGGTGATATTTCTTTTGTACGCATAGCTCCGGTTTCTTATTCCGGATGGCTACTGCTTCAGCCGTTTGAAAACCTTTCGGTCTGAAAAGCTTTGACAGGAATTACTAACCCGATAAATAATTGAAAAGGATTAGTTGATACTGGCATCATGATCAGTTTACACTAAATGGGCCGGTATCGAGCTGCCAACTTTCACCAGATCTTTGTTTAGTCATTCTGGAAGGTGTTTTCGAGCGCGGAAATGTTCCTAGAACTTCGACCAGTATAACTCGCTCCACGGGAGCAGTCGAACTGATAAATAGAAAATGAGGTGGCCATCCTAGGTAATTCATCTTTTAGCCTCGGCGTCACCATAGACGTGTGGAAAACACTGATCGTAGTTCACCACTGTTGAAGGTACTTTAGGAGTGTTATTATTAGGTTTGTTAAGTTTGAGTGCTACTACTGATTTGTCTTACCCGGAACGGAACGAAGGATCAAGGGTTCAGAGACTCGATAGGCTATTCTGGTCCGTTGTTCCCGACTCAGCTAACTCTACCAAAAAGTCTTGGTAAGACGTAGGAAGTGTATTCTACAGGCAACCTGCAGGTACCAGGTCAACCAGGCACACAAAACAAGCGTATATATATATATATAATCAATATTGTCATAAAAGATTTTAAACACTTCATCAATAAGTTCGTCAATCAAGTGCCATTCAAATATTTAAACATTTAATCGATAAGATAAAATTACAAAATGTGAGTTATGAAGGATCTATCCTCCCCAACAGTTATGCGTAATCTCTGAGTTAGTACCTTGCTGGCTGCGTCCTCTCAGAATTTTTGGCGCATGAACAGGAATTTTTTATTCACCGTTTGCTTTTCGCCCATTCACGCCGTGCCTTAAATTTAAACGATGCAATTTGCCCTAAACCTCGAATTTCTAGTTCGAATACATAATTGTAGAACCCGAAGAGAATTTAACGAAAAGAATATTCTTCGTTTAAATATCAGTATTTTAGTCGGAAATTTATTATTTTTGTGGATATAGTCTTGACTTCAGTATTCTATATTTGTACTTAAGTCTTACCAGAGTTCGTAACGAATAATAGGTCATACTTGAGACATTCAGATTAGCAATAGATTAGCAACTAGTCAGTGAAAAACAATCAGGTCCATCTCCATGCATAGTGATATATATTTTTAAGTACCACTGGTAATCTCCCTTCAGCTCAGAAAATAAGCGTAAGTTCCTAAAATGAAGGGACAACATTCAATTATATATCTGGTATGGAAGGATTCGGGACTTGTTTTGATGGAAATTTCGTCCAATGATCCCCTCTGTTTCGATATTTCAGTGGACATATGTTCAGAGAAGTTAGGGGCATGAATGTGATTCGACTCTAACTCACTTTTGAAGTTAAGTCTAGAACATGAAGTATTAATAAGTGTATGTTTTAGTGTTAACCGCATTTCTCATTGTCAAACCCCAAGCTCCAATGTCTGAAAATCACTTCTAAATTCCATGTGTTCAAATTTATGAATAAGTCCCATGTCGTTAGCGCATAAAGACGGTGTATATGCTAAGAAGCATTCACATATAGTGTTAATGCATAAAATGGACCAAAAAGGGTTTTTGGTACAGCACGATTAGAGATAAGTCCATGTGTATATGTAACAAAGTTAACTTTAGTTATGTGGTAATAACTCAGAAAAATAGACTTGAACCAACCTAGTGGTTGAATTTTAAATGCATTTTTATCTGAAATTATTGTGAGATCTCTATCTTCTCCTGATCACTAAGTCGAGTAATTTAATCAAAATAATGTATTAAGCATAAAATGTACAACATGAATTTTAGAAAAGCATACTGGGAGGTAGTGACTAGGACGCCAGACAGAAGGTGGTCAGATAATTGAGCTGTCGCTGTTTTTTTCCACTGATTTTACGATTACAAAAGTGATGTTTACTGATATGCTATCTTGGATAAGGTTCTTTGTTTCTGATGTGCGTTTAGCGACTACATATTTTCCTATTTCTAAAAACGGGGTGAGTACATTGAGAAGTGGTTTTAAAATGTTTCACTCCACCTTTCTACAGAAACTGATTGGATATCATCATCACCACCTGAGCTCGCGTCGGATGGCAACGACGAAATTTCTGAGGTTGAAGTTTATGCAACTGAGCTTGTTCTATATAATCCAGTTAACGCTGACACTTTAGGACTGATATATATTCACACTGTTTAGGAACCACCCGTTTGAGGGCTTACAGATGAAATGTTGGTTGTCGTGAAGAATGGAAACTGAAATCTGCAATTTTTGAGAGTTCTCAGCAGGAGTAAATGGTTTTGGATTATGATGCGCTACTGATAGGTCGTTGATCACGTAAATCTAGATATATACTAAACTACCACTTCCATTCTTGTAGGTACCATCACAACGGAAAGCTTATTAGTTGTCCATTGAAAGAAAGCTTCCAATTACAGGGACAAGTGTGAGGTTTCGTAGATACGGTACTTTATTATGTACGGACTGTGCATTGACTTGCAATAGTGTCAGGTGATGTGTCGATTTAGCTGGGACAAAACTTTTGTTGTTTGAACCGAATTGGAGCGTCATTTAACATTTTATGGATTAGAAGGGTTGGATTGTTTTGTACGTTTAATGAAGGTTGACAGACTAATTCATAGATAATGCTCTTCACTCTGGAGGGTTACGTGCAAAACAACTGAGTAGGCACTGATTCCTTCAGCTGTAGGAGCAGGTATGCAATCACACGCGATGAAGGAGCGAGGTTATGTGTCCGTGTGAAATAACTCTTCACTACTAAGCTGAAAATGTGATGCGGTTTTACGAGATATATAACCCAGTGCAAGATGTTCTATGGCTGATTTGAAACGAATCCAAATTTAATGTTTCGATTCCAACAGGTTGTTTATCACTAGATGTAGACGGACTAGGCTTATTGGGCATTTTTCTTCACAGGAAAATTCTTACTTCAATAGTAAGTATATTTTTGACTGCTACTATTTATAATGTTAAAAATGCTATGTCGAAGGTTGAACTGAGGTGAGACACAACTGGCCAGTTGGACTGTCAATTTCTCCCCCAATCTTTCACAGTCATGTAGGACACTCAAAATGCTACAGGCCTTTAAAAAGTTTATTTCTGCCCTGTTGGGGGAAATATATCCGGGGGTCTTGCAGTTTATTGACTTGTGAATTAATATAAATGCATCATGAATTCCGATGCTTTGCAATGTGAGAAAGTTTCAACCTTCTATACTTTTTCAGTTTGCATGTCGCCACACTTAACAAGAAAATGAGATATCGCCAATAGATTGGATGAATCGCTGTAAATCTTGATATAATTAATCTCGTTTTTTCTTGTTGAAGTAAGGAATATTTACTTTCTTAACCCGCGGTGTAGAACCATGTGGCAATTGTGGCATAACAGTGAATTGATCATTCATGGATGGAGCG